GCTGAGAGACACACAGAGAAAAAAACTTGAACTTCCATCATGCTTTCTATGGCCACGCTATGCAAGTGCTACTAGGAAAGTGAAATCCCAGGGCCCTCTCTGGAGGAGGAAGTAACTTTTCCAGGAAAAAATGAGAGGAGGCTTCTTCTGACGGGGAAAGAAAAAGACGACACCCTGCCTCAGGTAGTTTGTGGATCTGACACTTTCCGAAAATATTGTCTCTCAAAAATTCCTTTCACTGGTCTTTTCGTCTCTCTTTCCCCCTTTCTGTTTTCGGAAATTATCTGAAAATGGATCTCCAAAAACTACAAATCTTTTTGTTAACAGTGATTCGGGCCCAAGTCCACTACACAATCTAAAAGACACACAAAAAGTTATTTTGCAGAGGGAACAGTTGCAACGATACAGTGATCCCACTGAACTCTTCATCTTGGCACAGTGCTCCAGTACATAAAAAAATGATATCATTCCTTTCTTAGAATCATAGAAACACAGAGTTGGAAGAGTTGGACCACAGGTCCCATCCAGTACAACCCCCTGCCATGCAACGAATATTTCTTCTTTCGAAACTATTGGCTTTCATCCTCCCATCTCTCTGCTGAGCTCTGTGTGTGTTGTTGTTGTGCGTATATGGGGAGAGATATATTGCTGCAGTTGGACCCTTTTTGTTCTCTCCCTTGTTCTAATCAAATGAACTGGAGAAATGGTGGGACAGAGATACAAGTCTCCCCAGGAGATCTCAGAGCTCTAATGGGTTCAAACGGGAAAATAACTTTAAAATAACTTTGAATCCAAGCTGTATAGGGCTTTGGAAGTCAAAACAGTCAACTGAATTGTCTACATGACCTTAGAGCTCCAATGGGCTCAAAACAGAAAACAGAGATTTTCAATTAACCTAGATCCAAACTGCATATGACTTTGTAAGATCACATAGGCTTTGAATTGTCTATGTGATCTTAGAGCTACAATGGGCTCAAAAATGGATCTTCAAATCACCTGGATACAAGTTGTAAAGATCTTTATCAGTCAAAACCATTACACTGAATGGCCTAAGTGATCTCGGAGTTCTAATGGGCTCGTAAAGGGAAATATGGACCTTCAAATAACCCAGATCCAAGCTGTATACAGTTTTGTAAGTCAAATCAGTCCTCTGAATTGTCTACATGCTCTTAGAGCTCCAATGGGCTTTAAAAGGGAAATATGGACCATCAAATCACCTGGATCCAAGTTGCAAGGGCTTTACAAGTTGAAACCATTACTCTGAATGGTCTAGGCCAGCGTTTCTCAACCTGGGGGTCAGAAACCTGGGGGAGGTCACCAAGGGGAATCAGAGGGGTCGCCAAAGACCATCAGAAAAACAGTATTTTCTATTAGTCATGGGGGTTCTGTGTGGACAGTTTGGCCCAATTCTATCGTTGGTGTGGTTCAGAATGCTCTCTGATTGTAGGTGAACTATAAATCCCAGCAACTAAAACTCCCAAGTGCCAAGTTCTCTTTTTCCCCAAACTCCACCAGTGTTCACATCTGGGCATATTGAGTATTTGCGCCAAGTTTGGTCCAGATCCATCATTGTTTGAGTCCACAGTGCTCAAACAATGTAGGTGCACTACAACTCCAAAACTCAAGGTCAATGCCCATCAGACCCATCCAGTATTTTCTGTTGGTTGTGGGAGTTCTAAGTGGCGAATTTAGTTCAATTCCATCATTGGTGGGGTTCAGAATGCTCTTAGATTGTAGGTTACCTTTAAATCCTAGCAACTACAACTCCCAAATGACAAAATCAATCCCCCGCAACCCCACCAGTATTCAAATTTGGGCGTATCAGGTATTTGTGCCAAATTTGGTCCAGTAAATGAAAATACATCCTGCATATCAGATATTTACATTATGATTCATAACAGTAGCAAAATTACAGTTATGAAGTGGCAATGAAAATAATGTTGTGGTTGGGGGTCACCACAACATGAGGAACTGTATTAAGGGGTTGCAGCATTAGGAAGGTTGAGAACCACTGATCTACTGCATTATATCATGTGTATATCATTGGGTGTATTGGGTATTTGTGTCAAATTTGGTCCAGTGAATGAAAAATACATCCTGCATATCAGGTATTTACATTATGATTCATAACAGTAGCAAAGTTACCGTTGTGAAATAGCAACTAAAATAATATTATGGTCGGGGGCCAGCACAACATGAGAAAATGTATTAAGGGGGTGTGGCATTAGGAAAGTTGAGAAACACTGGCCTAGGCGATCTTAGAGCTCTAATATGCTCAACAAGAGAAATATAAACGCCCCCCCCCCAAAAAAAAAACAGGATTCAAGCTGTACATGGCTTCATAAATCCAAACTACTACACTGAATCATCTAAGCCAGGGGTCCACAAACTTTAAACAGAGGGCCAGGTCACCCAACATGAATGAATTCCTATGCACACTGCACATCTCTTATTTGTAGTGCAAAAACATTTAAAAACAATACAATAATTAAAATGAAGAACAATTTTAACACATATAAACTTATGAGTCTTTCAATGGGAAGTATGGGCCTGCTTTTAACTGATGAGATAGGATTGTTGTTGTGTGCTTTCAAGTCGTTTCAGACTTAGGTTGACCCTGATCAAGGGCCGGGTAAATGACCTTGGAGGGCCGTATCCGGCCCCCGGGCCTTAGTTTGAGGACCCCTGGTCTAAGCAATCTTAGATTTCCAGTGGGCTCATGAATATGGTCCTTCTAACAACCTGAATCCAAGTCACATAGAGCTGTATAGGTCAAAATAATTACTCTGAATTGTGCTTCAAACCAACAGATCTACTGGAAGCCAATAGATCTGCTGCAATGAGGAAGTTGTGTGCTCCATATAACCAGGGCCAGTTAACAACATGGCCGCAGCTCTTTGGCCAACTGAAGCTTCTGAGCATTTTTCAAAGGCAGCCCCACACAGAGAGCAGTACAACAATCCAAATCTATCATGGGGATTTCTTGACAAGATTTATTCAAGGAGGTTTGCCATTGCTTTCCTGCTTGGCTCAGAATATGACTTGCCCAAGGTTACCCAGTGGGTTTCCACAGCTGAGTGGGGATTTGCACTCTAGTCTCCCACAGCCCTAATCCAATACACAAACCACTACACCACACTGGTTTTCTTCAAGTTTTTAAGGCTCCAGAATTGAGTAATAAAATGTTGGAGTTATTTTAAGGGGGGAAATAATTTTTTTATGGAGCTGGAGCAGCACAGCCTTCAAGCTCGAACTACGAAGTAATAAATTTAGGACCTGGGTTTTTATAAATAAATAAAGTCATGAGGAGATTGTTCAAATAATGCTTAAAAATGGATCACAATATAATAAAAAAGTTGGACGCACAGTGTCACCCCTGCTCTATCCATATAGAATGGGTCGAACACAATCACATAAATAGCAAAGTTACTGACACTGACTGTTGGATGAGTTCCCGATTGGCAATATAGACCATCTTGCTTTGCTCTGTGTTCCAAGGACACATCTAACTTCAATAATGCTTATGGGGGGAAAGAAACCCTCAGAATATTTGGCTTTGTGAAATCTTGCAGATTCATTAAACCACAGATGTTTTATATATTTCACCGTATGACAATGTGCCGTCAAAATTTATTATGGCCTGGCATAAGGAATAGTACTTATCTGCTCATACACAACTCTCTAGCGTTACGTACAAAAAATAAATGATTTGGAAGTATGGTTTGCCAAACGTTGGAAGAGCTGTTACTTGGTTTGCTTTCACTTGGCAACCTTACTTCCCTATGAAAACTGGTAGCATTATTTTTAAAATCACAATTAAAGTGAGAAATAATGTCATTAAAAAGGGTTGTCAAAGCAAAAGATGGAGGGGATTTTTTCTCGTTAATGACTGTATCGAAAAGGAAATTTCACCATGGAGTTGCTTGTTACCTGGTTACATCATGATGATTATGGAGGAAAAAAAAACCCAACACAACCATTAAAGCAGTATTTCTCAACCTGGGGATTGGGTCCCGGGGGGGGGGGGAGGTCACCAGGGGGTGTCAGAGGGGTCGCCAAAGACCATCAGAAAACATAATATTTTCTCTTGGTCCTGGGGGTTTTGTGTGGGAAGTTTGGCCTGGTTCTATCATTGGTGGAGTTTAGAAAGCACTTCGATTGTAGGTGAACTATAAATCCCGGGAACTACAACTCCCAAAATGTCAAGGTCTATTTTTCCCAAAAACCACCAGTGTTCACATTTGGGCATATTGAGTAGTCATGTCAAGTTTGGTCCAGATTTATCATTGTTTGGGTCCACAGTGCTCTCTGGATGTAGACGAACTACAACTCCCAAACTCAAGGTCAATGCCCACCAAACTCTTCCAGTATTTTCTGTTGGTCATGGGAGTTCTGTGTCCCAAGTTTGGTTCAATTCCATCATTTGTGAAGTTCAGAATGCTTTTTTATTGTAGGGTAACTATAAATCCCAGCAACTACAACTCCCAAATAACAAACACAATCCTCCCCCCAACATCACAAGTATCCAAATTTGGGCCTATTGGGTATTTGTGCCAAATTTGGTCCAGTGAATGAAAAGACACCATGCATATCAGAAATTTACATTACAATTCATAACAGTAGCAAAATTACAGTTAAGAAGTAGCAATGAAAATAATTTTATGGTTGGGTGTCACCACAACATGAGGAACTGTATTAAGGGGTCGTGGCATTAGGAAGGTTGAGAACCACTGCATTAAGGAGAGCTCTCACGTTTTCATTGTGGCAAACTCATCCACAACTTACCTTTCTTGAAGGCTTCCAGACAGTAACCGACTGGCTACTAAGTAGGACTTCAAACTTTGGTTGAATCTAAAAGGGCTCCTATTTATTTCAGAGTATTATTTCCCAAAACATATATTTGATATTTTAATTAGGGATCCCTTTAAAATACAACAACAGAGAGACATGGAACCAGGGATAAAGAAACATAAGTAAATGCATACGTAATGAAAATGTACCATGGCTGTAATTGTAACAGACCCACTGCCCGCTTTGGGGTTTTGGAAGCGATACTGGAGTTTCTTCCGCTGGGAAAGTAGAGAACTTGCATTCTACAAACAGCCGTTGTATCGTGTTATCCCTTGTAATCTGGTTGTCAGTGAGACTGAGCGATATGATTTCAATCCGGATTTTTTCAGCAGGCTATTAAAACAAAAAGATCGCGTAAGCAAAAAAAAAAAGTGACCTTGTGCATATACGTGCCTTGTTGTACTAAAATGTCACCACAAACACACAAATCAAACAAGATGTCTTGGATTTAAAAAAAAGACCGATAATTTATGACAGAGCAATCATAGATGTCCCGGTGCCTTAGGGTTTTTAGTTAACACTAACATTGCAATGGGCTACAGATATATTATTTGTGCTGAAAATACAGTTTTTAGCCCTGCTACCTGAGAGCCTTTTAACCAGAATTACCAAAGATTGATGCTGGGGCCTTACATAAGTAAGTTCTTTTGTGTTGTTTATTTGTTCAGTTGCTACTGACTCTTTGTGACATCATGGACCAGCCCATACCAGAGTTCCCTGTTGGCTGTCGCCACCCCCAGCTCCTTCAAGGTCAAGCCAGTCACTTCAAGGATATCATCAACCCACCTTGCCCTTGGTTGGCCCCTCTTCCTTTTTCCTTCCACTATCATAGAATCAAAGAGTTGGAAGAGACCTCATGGGCCATCTAGTCCAACCCCCTGCCAAGAAGCAGGAATATTGCATTCAAATCACCCCTGACAGATGGCCATCCAGCCTCTGTTCAAAAGCCTCCAAAGAAGGAGCCTCCATCACACTCCCCAGCATCATTCTCTTTCCCAAGCTTTCCTGTCTTCTCATGATGTGGCCAAAGGACTTCATCTTTACCTCTAATATCCTTCCTTCCAGTGAGTAGTTGGGCATTATTTCCTGGAGTATGGCCTGGTTTGATCTTCTTGTGGTCCAAGGCACTCTCCAAATTTTCCTCCAACACCACAGCTCAAAAGCATCTATCTTCTTTTGCTCAGCCTTCCTTATGGTCTAGCTCTCACATCCATAGGTTACTACATGGAATAACATCACTTTAACTATGTGGATCTTCATTGCCAGTGTGATGTCTTTACTCTTTACTATTCTATTGAGATTGGTCATTGCTCTACTGAAGCATTAATCTATAGCCCCACAAATAACGCACAGGTGTGAAGGTTGTACTTTTTCATCTTAAAGAGACTTCTGGGCCGTATATATTTATTTCTTAAGGAGATCTGCCTTCCCACACATATTTTTCTCCACTTAATGACATCAGTTCTCAATCCATTAAATGATGCCACATCCCCTACTTTTAGGTCTAATACATTATTTAATATAGATACTTTCCATCACCCTGTGGTCTTGAACAGATAGTAATTTTTAGGGGTGTGTGAAACGGCAGAAATCCATTCTGGTTTTGTGCTGAATTTCAGGTGTCCCCTCCCACTTCCCGGGTTCTGTTTTTGGGAAGATTCTTCCAAAATAGAAACGGAATTCCGGATCTCGAATTACAAATCCAAATGACCCCCCTCCTAATCTCCCAAAACCTTCCCAAAAACAGAACTGATTTCTGCTGTTTCGCATACCCCTATTTTTATATACGGTATATCAGTTACAGTAAAAAAATTGAACTTTCTCCTGCAGATTTTTAGGTTTCAAATGGGACCATGCATATAGAATCCCTTTTGTAACAATCCTGTTCATCTATTGTCCTAAATTGCAGTTCAGTATTACTGTATTTACTTGAGGATAATATGCCACTGAATGTACCTGAATTTTGAAGGTGCACATTACAAAATATGGATTTGCCCTTGAAGATAATGTGCTCAGTAGCACAGGCATAGCATGTCAAGGAAACAGGCAGCATGAATGAGGCTCTTTGATAAGCCACGTTCCTCCATCTGACCATGGCTGGTAAACTCGCTAGCCTTGTATGACTCCAGACTGGCCTAATTCACAAGACATTCAAAACCGAGGTCAGTTGGGAACCACGTGGGACTGAACCTGAGGGGTGGGTGGGTATGGGACCTTGAAGCCACCTGGAAGGTAAGATCTGAGTCTAAGCAAACTGGAACTAGTGGGTCAGCAGCCAGATGCTCCTTCTCCTTCTACGGGCAACACGGAGCCCTGAGGCTGCCACCACCAGGAATATCCTTTCTGCATCCCATGCCCCCTAGTGTTCCAGGTTCTTCTGTGCC